CACACGCGTGAGTGGGCAAAATCTCCTCGGACGTACTAGAAGGAATGGCTGTGGGTGCTCTGTGGCCACAATTTCCCCCAGCCCCGGAGGGCTCTCTGGAAAAAGGAGACCTGAAGGGATGAGTAGGAGTTGGCAAGGTGCCAGTGGGAGGAAAGGAGACAGTTCTCACTTCACTTTCTCATTCCAGCTTCTGAAGTTCTGCTCTATTCTTTCCAAACTGGCTTCTCCTCTTTGATAAAGGACTTGATTTCCTTCAGATACAGTTTTGGCCTTTGTAGTCGATTCTGAAATATTGTCTGAGGTGAGGGTGAGGAAGTGTTGGGGAAGCAGAGGGAGAGACATGGAGATACCCTCCCTGGGTTACTTGCTTTTAAATATATATTTTATTTATTTATTTATTATTTTTAATTTGACCAGAGAAAGAGAGAGAGAATGAGAAAGCAGGCCTCCAGGTCCAGGACTCGAACTGTGGTCAGCCATGTGGGAGGCCAGTGTTACCCATAATGCCACCTGCCGGCCCTGGATTTTGCTTTTAAAGTTGTAGGAAAGCCACATGTTGAGTTAAGCTTGGTGGTGTTGGTGGATTTGTTGGGCTACTGGAGAAGTCAGCCCTCAGAAATGTCATGCTTGTGGGTTCTAGGTGTCACTTAAAGTGTGGCTCCATTAGCAATGCGCCAGTGAAGCCTGGGGGTGGATTTACTCTGCGAGTCCCCCATCATGGCTCTAGAGTCACCCCCAGATTCCTGGGTTCTTTTCTAAGGTTTTTATCCACATGTGCTCTTACATTCCCTACCATTTAACACATCCCCGTCCTGTGTCATAGGTCACACTCAGCCGGTACCAGAGAGAAGCAGAAGAGAGTAATGTGGCCCTTCGGAGAGAGGAGGACCGAGTGGAGCAAAAAGAGGCAGAAGTGGGAGAGTTGCAGAGGCGCCTGCTGGGAATGGAGACGGTACTTTGGTGGCGTTTCGCTTTCAGTGCCTGGACCCTTGGGCCGGGATGAGTGAGATGGTTGCTAAGATGCTCCTTTTTCAAGCAGCTCCAAAAATGCACATTTCACAGCTTTCTTTGGCAAATCTCTTCAGACACCTTTTAACCTTTAAGGAATGAGAAGATCTTTTCCTTCTGTTTCTTTCTAACTAGAACCGAACATCTATTAGGTTGTCAGGAAAATCATGATGTATTTTTCTTAAAAAATATTTTTTTTTTAAGAATTATTCTATTGGGAACCAGCAGTTAGCGTAATGGCTATGTCGCTGGACTCCCACGTAGTCGACCGCGGTTCGTGTCCCGGACCTGGTGGCTTAAAACTCACGCCGGGCGCGTGTGCGTGCGTGCCCAAGATCCCGGGAAGAGAATGGAGGAGAAGGGATTGCGGCGTGACCATTCCCCCTGGGGGGTGATTTCTCGCTTTCTGTCTCTATGTCTCTCTCTGTCTGTCTGGCAAGCGCACACGCCCTACAGTGAAAATCATCTCCAAAAAAAAAAAAGAATTATTCTATTGAACTGAATTTTATTTATTTGTTTGTTTGTTTTAATTTGACCAGAAAGGGGGATAGAGAAAGAGAGTGAGAAAGTGAGAAAGCAAGCCACCATGTCTAGGACACGAACCCCAGTCAGCCATGTGGGAGTCCAGCACTCAACACCACACCACCTGCTGGTCCTGTGACATATTTTTCTATGCAAAAATGCATCACAACTTTCTCAATGGCCCAATATTATTATTATCATTATTATTTTGATTGCCAGAGGGCACATGTACAGGCGTGTGAGGGAGGTAGAAAGAAAGCAACCCCTATGGGGCGTTATGGTCACACCACAATTCTTTCTCCTCTATTTCTCCCATTTTGTTGGGATTTGGGGCGTGCACATGTGCCCAGCACGTTTTTTACATCATGATTGGCCATGTGGGATCTGGCTCCCTTAAGCATCAGGCTATAGACCCAGCCCACTATTGTTAATTTTTGATGAGAGAGCATGGGAGGGAAAGGAAGAGAAAGATTTTTGTTTTGTTTTTTAAGTTTACTTCTTCCACGAGAGGCAGAGGGACTGGAACCTCTGACAGGGTCTTTGCTCCATAATCCACCCCAGTGTGAATCACAGGCATGTGCACACATCTGGGTTTGTGTTCCAGGACCTTCCCATGTGGGTCCAGTTGTGTCACCACTGTGTTACCACCTGCCTCTGAGAGATGGGTGATTTTGACAGGGTCTCACCGTGTTGTGGTTTTTCTGCCCCAGCCTCCCAGTTAGCTAGGACCACAGGTGCAGGGCCCTGAGTCTGGCCTGTTTAGGTTGGACGGTCACCAAACCCAGATCTCCCATGTAACACCAGCCACGCCCCTGGCGACCTTCTACTTGTGTGCCCCCACCACCACCACCACCACCACCACCACCATCACTTACTTTAGCCAGGTTTCTGCACAGATGCCCCTTTGGGGCTTTTGTTTCTAAGAAACAGCCTGACCTGGTTTCTCAGGGACTGGCTCCACAGCTGGCAGGTGGGTCTGCATGATGCAGAACCAGATTCTCCCTCCAGGCAGCTGGGTGAGGCTGGGAGGTTTCTAAGTGCTGAAGGTGGGAAGGGTTATCCCGGACAGGGGAGGGCGCCCCATCAAACCAGCTTGGCCTGCTGCTCTTTGGCAGCTGTCCCAGGCTTAGTAGGGACTGAGTCCCAGCCCCAGTGCCCATCTTACGCCAAACATAGAAACTGTTGTATCTTCTAAGATTTTTCTTTCCTTTGGCCCACCCAGGAGCAGCAGGACTTACTGGCCAAAGTCAGGAGAGGGGAGATGGCCTTAGAGGAACTTCGGAGCAAGAATGCTGACTGCCAAGCAGAACAAGAAAAGTAAGGGCCCTGTTCACTATGAAGGAGGGGTGCAAGAAGGGGAGGGCTGGCCATGCAGCCTGCAGCTCTCGTGGGGGCCAGGGCTGGGGAGGAAGCTGGTGCTGATGTCAGATCTTCCAGCTCTGACTCAAACGTGCTTGCTCAGGGTGGGGCCCCACCCAGAGAGATACTGTCTGGAAGGCTGCCATCTCTGGGAGTTCATTTTCCATGGGGTAATAACCTTAAAAAAAAAAAAAAATGCCTTTTATGGTTTCGGAGCCAAGGTCAAGTGAGAACCTGTAAAGCATCTGTGTCACAGCATGTCACTCCACAGACAGGACCTCGATGTATTTTACCACAGTCCCCTGGCTCTGAAATAGCAACCAGCGTTCAACTATTTCAGACTAAAAATTGAACAATTTCCTCGTGAGTTGGGCTGATGAAAGGTGGAATGAGTAGCTTCATGAGGATAAATGAGCTTCCTGTTACTTGAGGCAATTTGGACAGAAACTGAGAACTACCTGCCAGCGGTGGCATATAGGGTATCCCTGATCCTTCCTGCCTCCAGGGTAGAGGCGTTTGCAGATTCCTTCTGATCAGAAGAAATCAGCGGCCCCAGACCAACAGAACCTACAGAGCAAAGATTGTGCCTTTTGGTCTTTCAGAAATGTGGGAATTCTTTATGCTGTTGGCAGTTAATAAGATCTCAAATGTTAAATTAAATGTAAAGTCAACATAGTGGGTCTGATCTCCATCATATAAGATACTCAATAGCCGGGCCAGCGGGAGGTTTGTTGGTTGGGGCGCTGGACACTCCCACTTGACTGACCACAGTTTGAGTCCCAGATCTAGTGGTTTGCTTTCTCGCTTTCCCTCTCTTTTAGTGTCTCTCTCTGGTCAGCTTGAAATGAATGAGTAAAAAAAATGAAATAAATCACGTTTTTTAAAAAGATACTCAATAGATAGATTTTTTTTTCTTACATGAAAGAGAACGAGCCCAATCCAATGGTCTTTTCATGCCATGGCCCACTCCAAACACTGCCAGCCCAGATCATGGGCCAGGGTATTCTTGATGTACTCAGGGAAGTCTTGGAAGGTGAACGAGGACCTCTCCATGTAGGCCAGCCCCACAGAGTGTTGCGTTCCTGCGTCACTGTGGTGCTGCCGGCTGGCCCCCAAGGCTGGCCCTTTTTTGAGTTCAACAGACACTACCTATAGGCTTCTAAAGAATTCCAAGATGAACAGGCACAGCCTTGGCCTTTCAGGACCCCTCTGTCTTCTGGGAGCATCTTCCCTCCTTTAGACCTGACCTTCTTGGCAGGCCTCCGATTGTAGCCTCAGACCTGACTTCATAGCATCATCGCTTTCAACTCCCCAGCACTCCTCCTGCCTCTGTGGGGTCCTTAGGAGCAGACAGAGAAGGCAAGGGCAGGAATGACAAAAAAGACAATTTCATCTAAAACCAAAGCTTGGGAATGACAAGTGACAGCTAATACATCAGAAACACTGATTTTTCTCAAAGGACACTGAGAAACGGCACTGGCGAGCCGAGGGTGGAAACAGGATGTTTGACATCGTGGATGGAGAGTGTGGAGTGGCTCCAATTGCCTTACACCCCACTCCCACCTGACCTGGAGCTCTGTCCACCCTCTAGCAGCATACACCTGTCAGCTTCCTCGGCAGAACTGGGAAGTAGTGGCTACCCACTTCAGGGGGCCAAACCCCTGGGTACTCTCCCAGGTGGCCTGACTGAAAGGAAAACCATTCTCTATTTGACAGCAGCACTGACTCAGATGTCTGGATTTTCACACTGAACAATTCTTCAGTTCTCTGTTGACATGAATATCCCACAGTTCATTTCAATCCCGAGACGACCCAGAGTTAATACAGATCCCACAAGGTTTCTCCCACAATCCTTCGCGTCAGACACCAGCTATGAATAGCAGGTCCAGTGGTGCTCACGCTTCTGTCTGACTTGACTGCAGGTCGGAGGTTTTCTTTAGTCCCCTCCTCGGGTTTGAGCGTTTGCTCTAAGGACTTACAGAACTCAGGGAACATCTGCCTTGCTATTACTGGTTTATTATAAAGGGTTCAATGAGCAGGCTGATGAAGCTGAACCGAGGGCAAGATCAAGAAGGGTGCAGGAGCTGCTTTTCCCTAAGGAGTTGGGGCGTGCCACCCGGGAAGCTCCAAACCTCACTGTTCAAGGTTGCTATGGAGGCTTCGTTATATAGGCATGACTGAGCAAATCATTGGTTACTGGTGATCAACTCGGCAATCCCTTCTCCTCCATTCTCCTCTCGGGATCTTGGGCATGCACGCACACGTGCCCAGCGTGAGTTTAAGCCACCGGGTCCGGGACTCGAACCGCGGTCAACTACGTGGGAGTCCAGCGACATAGCCATTACGCTAACTGCTGGTCCCCATAAGTTGTTTTTTTTGAGGACCAGCTCCCATCCTGAAGTTGTCTAGGACTCCGGCCTCAGGCCATCTCATTAGCATACAGAAAAACATTAGTCAGTCCTAGAGATCCCAAGCATCTTGTGTTAGGAACCAGGAACTGAGCCAAAATACTATGAGAAAGAAAAAAAAAAAACTTTAGAAAGAGAGAGAAGTCCCCCACCAGGGCCCCATGTGTCCATGCTTCAATTCGCCCCCAGCCCTTTCCAGCCAGGATCACAAGCGTGGTATACCTAGCATGTGCAGTCCAGACCAACTGAGACCTGGTCCACACCAGGGCTTCAGCATTCTCACTGCCGTGCTAGCGCCGTGCCAGCAGGGCCAGCACCTGTTCCTGAGGGCAGACCACTAGTGTCATGCAGAGGGCATCACACCCGATGGGCACCTCTTCCAGTTCCTGGGTAGGGAAGGCACCTTCCCTTTCCTCAGCCTTCTGGTCTTTGTCCCCAGGGCTGCTACCCTGGAAAAGGAGGTGGCTGGGCTGCGGGAGAAGATCCACCACTTGGATGATATGCTGAAGAGCCAGCAGCGGAAAGTCAGACAGATGATAGAGCAGGTAAGTGCGATCGGGTCTTAACCTGCCCTGGGTTAGTCCCCTAAGTCTGCACTTTTACTTACTTATTCTCCTAGGAGCCTCTCTCATACTCATGCGTTTCCCACAAAACCTCTGTTGCTACCGGTCATTAGCGTTTGGGTTTGAAGGATTTGCCTTTCTTCCATCTTTCTTCTATTTTTTTGGTTATTTGACTTCAGTTTTCCAGTGGGAAAGTAAGGAAGAGGTGAGTCTCCCTTCTACTCTGTGGAGAATGCGAGTGAATGAGTCCTTGCATTGTAATGGACGCTGTTGTCCGTGGCAGATGATCAGTCTTTGCACCTCATGGCAGAGTTCCTGCCATACTCACCTGAGCTTCAGGGCAGCATGCTCAGCTTGGGCAGATTTGCAGATTGTTTTGAGAACTCAGACTCACTTCTTAGGAGGGCATATTTATTTTGTGTCAGTATTCTGTTTATTGCTGTTCCCCATTGTCTAGAACACGTCTGTCATGTAGTGAGCACTCAGTAAGTATTTCTTGGATAATAGGTCATTTGTATTTTCCAAAGCCAAAAAAAAAAAAACCTTCTAGGGACCAGTAGTTAGCGTAATGGCTATGTTGTTGGACTCCCATGTAGTTAACCACAGTTTGAGTCCCGAACCCGGTGGCTTAAACTCACGCTGGGAGTGTGTGCCCAAAATCCCAAGAGGAGAATGGAGGAGAAGGGATTGCGGTGTGGCCATCCCCCCAGGGGGTGATTTCTCGCTTTCTTTCTCTCTGTCTCTCTCTTGTCTTTTCGGGTGAGCACCTGTGCCCTATAGCAAAAACTTCTCCAAAAAGAAAAAAAAAGGGAAAAAAAACCTTTCTTTTCAAAGTTTATTTTTATTTATTTATTTGTTTCATGAGAGAAAGACAGATGCCCCCAAAGGGTCACCATTGCTGCAGTCTACCCCTAGGCTCAGCCAGCTTGGCCCATGGGCACGTATGTGCCTTGTGTGCTCAGGGAGGTCCTGGAACATGAATCCGGGATCTCTCATGTGGGTCTAGTTTGGTTACTGCTCTGCCACTTTTGGCCCCAGAATGGGTTTTGAATTATCCGTTAATGTGGACTATCAGGATGATGTTCCTTTCACCCTCTCCTGAGATAATCAAGAGTTTACTGTTGACTGAAAAAAGCAAGTAAAATTATGCGTGAGTTGCAGAGCTGTGCCTTTCACCTCTGCTGGCTTCCCCGGCAGCTAGGGTGAGGTTCGCTGAATGCATGATGAGTCATTGTACGCTGAACTCCAGTATCTCCTCCATTATTGCAGCTCCAGAATTCGAAAGCTGTGATCCAGTCAAAGGACGCCACCATCCAGGAGCTCAAAGAGAAAGTGGCCTACCTGGAGGCAGAGGTACGTTGGGTAGTCCAGTGGGGGTCAGGGCTCTTGAAGAGAAGACGACTTAAGGGAGAGGCTACGGAGTGGGGCCTGGTTGTACTCGGAACTGTGTGTCTGGGATGGCTGGTTGATCTTCAGTTCAGTTGAGTAAACGTTTTCTGAGAACTTTCAGGGAGTTGCTAACAGTGGTGAGACCCATCCCTGCCCTCAAGCGTTGTGTTATCTTGATACAAGCCACTGGCCATGCCAGCATGGAGACGACCATAAGGGTTTTGCCCATAAGGGTTTTGCGGAGGAGCAGTCAGTGGAACTGGGCTTCAAAGCAGGGAAAGACATTCTATAGTTAAGAGACTTCCGTGTCTAAGGTGATAGCTCAATTACTAAAGAGCTGTCTTCCCGGTCTGATTTCTGCCTTACTCCAAAGCCATGTTGGTTACTACCTGAAGATCACTTTGCAGCCACTCTGCATAGACCCCTTGTAGTAGGAGAGATAAATGGATTGTTTATCTTAGGGAATTTGTGGTCTAGAGTTAGGGGTAAAATACATTAAAAAGAAAACAACTATATAGTGTTCCATTATTGGCCAAGGCAAGTGATTATCTCAACCGAAAATAAGAAATTATATACAGGAAATGTATATAGAGGGTATATAGGAAATGATCAGTGTAGCACAGAGCTGTTGAAGAGCAGGTGCTAG